AGATATTAATTAAAAGATAAATATATCAATTCATGTGAATGTGACTGAAATTTTTCATTTTTTTCTGAAAAGGTGGTGTCTATTTACTTGTGACCACACTGTGTAGTAGTCAACCAGTTTTGAGTCAGTGCCCGGGATACAAGAAGATATTTAACAATGAAATGACTGTTTAGTTTTGTTTTGAGTTAGGCCTATCGCTTAGTTATCGTTAGTTCGTGAAACCATGTAAGTTATAAAACTTTCAATTGAATAAATAAAACGTTTCCATTTTGTTAAGTGGGCTATACTTTGTATTATTTTGCTGAATAATCAAATAGAAACTGTTACAACAACATTTTTCTCATAACTAATCCAGTTCTTCACTTATAGTCAACACAGTTATTATAATCTCTTATACTGGCAGGGCGTACACATTTGTTATTGTGTGATTTGTACTTTAATGAAACATTATTCAGAATAGAGTGAGAGCAACATTTTACGCCACTTTTCAGTGATCTTGGGGATAACCGAAATAAGAATACATTAATCAAAACGTTTTAGACCGTTTCATTCTGATAACATGTGTATTTTTGTATGTTTCCCATGCTAGCGAGACTTACCAAAATATAAAAGAGTTCTGAAGTTATCCAGAGCCATTTCTAATTAATTTGCTGAATTGGACTGGCCGTTTTTATAAACTTTCTAATTCATCCGTAATTAACATATAATAAAACAAATCCAGCAAATTACTGTGCATGCAAAACTCATGTTACTAAATACTTTTATACTTGCATAAATTAGAAAATATCAAAATAAAGTTTATTTGCACGAATTACCCACAAACAGTTTTAAACGAATACACATATAATCCTTTGAAGAGAAATATTGAAAAACATTTCAGATATGCCTTGCTATTTATCTAAAAAAATGCTAAAATATGTTAAAAATACACGTCTATAACAAAAACCTTTTTTGATTATTACTTACAACGTTCGGGCAGAAGCCCTTTGTCAGGCAGTATAAACCGTGTTACATGGGTGTTTGTTATAGACGTGTGTTTTTAAATTTTATGAACATATTTTTTGTTATTTTTCCACGTCTTGCGATCATTTTACTTGCTATTTATCTAGTTCTCCAAGTCCTACTAATGTTTTCAGCAATTTCAGTAATGTGCAGGAATATTCATAATAAATTCTTCAGGAACTGAAAATGTTTATGTCTTCCAAGAAAGTTATGTGTGGCATTTTAAAATTAGTTTATACACAAATAAGATGAATTTGAATAATACAAACATACATCTCATTTCTACAATCTTCAATATACTACGTATATATTCAAGTATCTCAGAACACATAGATAAAAACAGACAATTTACTTTTTTATTTGAAGAAAGCATTACAGATATGAAAGTATTACTGAAATCGTATAATTTATATTGCACTATAAGCTTAATGTTTCTACATTGGAATATATTTTTTAGTTATAAGTGTGCTTACAAAAGTCAAGAAATACGTCGTCTATTTATGTGTTACAAAATATACATTGTTACCTCTCCTTTCTGCATTTCAGAGTTTCAAAAGTAATAACCATTGCTTCAGAAAAACAGAAATGCCTCCCCCCCCCCCAAGTGGGACAGCAGTATGTCTGCGAACTTACAACGCTAGAATCCGGGTTTCGATACCGATGATGAGCAAAGCACAGATAGCCAATTGTGTTGCTTTGTGCTTAGCTTCAAACAAACAGAAAACTGTTGTTATTTTTTCATAGAAATAAATTATGATATAATGTAGCTTAGTAAGGGTGATAAAACCTACATTCTGTCCTTGCCAGGATTTCTAAATATTCAACTTAATATGATATAACATAGGTATGCCTCACTATATATTCATGAGTAAATATCCTGTGCTATTTTAAGCAGCTCGATACGATAAAAATATTTAAACGATATTGAATAATGCAGATACTATATAATTACACAGAGAAGAAACTAAAGAAATGAGAAGTTTCTATCCAGAAAAAAAAAACAGCCCTTCAAAATTAAAAAAACTAAATGTTTGCGTTAATTATCATTTAAAAATGTATGTCATTTAAAATGGCTTGGTTTGGTCTGATATTTCATTGGTGGTAGTGTCCAGAGTCACTGATGAGGAGTGGAATTCTCCGAAACTATTCTGGCTCATAGACACACACCCCAATGAAAGAATAGACCATTCCAAGATTTAACTTGTTGTTAAACAAATGGTATTGTTATCTGACACTGGGCAGCTTGTACATAATTGAATAAGTAGAGTTGTTTAAAAAAGAATTAAATTGTGGCGGATTGCTACAAGTTCTTCAAATACCTATAGAATGATAGGTTTCTTTTTGGTGAGTGTAAAACACGTAAATACACCAGTTTAATTAGTGTTTGATTCAGTATATGTTTATAGTAGATATGTCTGTAGATTTATCGTCCTATCAGTCTCACTAGTGTTTTTAGTAAAGCCTTTAAACTCATCCTTGTTGCCCGTCTTCATCAATACATAGCTGCTCACAATCTACTGCCTCATACACAGGCGTATTTCGCCCACGTCTTTCTACTTTGGATCAACTTTTCAAATTGTCTGACTCACTTTCCAATCATTTCAACACTCAAAGACCCTCCTGCATGCTCCTGTTTGATTTACGGCGTGCTTTTGACTCAGTTTGGCACTTAGGTTTACTCCATAAATTGCATATGATACACTTTCCTATTCTCTATATTCGTCTCATCTCCTCTTTTCTACACAGACGGCGTGCCGCTATATCAATTGATGGGATTCTCTCTCGCACTTTTACACTACATGCTGGAGTTCCACAAGGTTCTGTGTTGTCTCCTCTTCTGTACATTCTCTATGTTGCTGATATGCCTTGTCCCCAGCCTCCTCTTCAGTTGTTACAATATGCTGATGACACAGCTTTGGTAGCCCATTGTTCCACAATGTCAACTCTGAACAAGCTACTCCAGGTGGCTGTAAATTCTTTTTTTGTCTTGGTGTCACTGCTGGCGACTATCCCTCAATGTTCATAAAATATGAACGCATAATCATGATTTCGCAAGCTCTTTTGTAGGGACAATGATCAGTTAAAACAACTAAATTAATGTGATAATAGTTAAAACTTAATGACTAAATTGGATTTTTAATTATTACAACATGATTACTGATATGGCTTTATAGTAATTACAACCTGGTGACTTAAATGGTCTTGATAACAATTGGAGCATGGGGACTAAACTGCCTTTTTAATAATTACAACATGATAACTAAACTGCCTTTTTAATAATTACAACATGATAACTAAACTGCCTTTTTAATAATTACAACATGATGACCAAATTAACGTGACAATAATTATAGCATGATAATAATTACAACATAATAACAGAATGCAGCCATTTCAAAGATTCATACCGTTCACTAGGTCTGTTAGTTAGCACAACTTATTGACGTTGCTTTGCGAGACTTTATTTTTTGACAACTCGTTGATTAGATTTTTGATTGTGGGATGCATCTTTGACCCAAATCATGATGAGACAACTCAATTATTAATCTCATAATAAAGCCACAAACAAGGGAGGTTTCAATTCGCGCACTATGTATTTTCGAAATGAAAGAAAATTGCTACAGAAAAAAAAAAACACACCAGATTTTCGAGAGATTACACCATTCCAATTATCTAAAAGAAACTTGACTCACGCAATAAATTTGGCCACAGCGCAAAAACTCATCAGTCGTATTGCGATTCGTTGGTGGAAATCTTCCAGAAATAATTATTATACGAATTTAACTATCAAAGTGAAATTAAACCACCGATTGGCGCCCATTTTAAAATCCTCAACACATCAGGTGGCTTACATTGGTCCACATTTGACAGTCTCTGAGTTTATTGAGATATTAAATCCCTTGCGAATGAATATCTATGAACAAACAGTTAATGAATTTCATAATGATTTTATTGATTTGTGATAAGTAACACTTAAAGAACAGAAGGGTTTGGAAAGGACAACTATTCACTCTACAAATGCATGGATCATCCTGAGAAGACTGTCAAATACCCAAGATAACGATGTTCAGAGTTTTACTGGTCATTTTAAAGAAAAGTCATTATTAAATAAAAACTAAATGTATTTCATTACTCATGTTTCGTTTTGATCATTCTACACTAAAGAACACCGGGAGTAAATAGAGTAAACACTATAAAACATGAGGTGTATGTATATACATATATATATATATATATATGTGTGTGTGTGTGTGTGTGTATACTACACATTAGAAAGAATGAGGAGTGTATATTTAGTGACTGTATAATACAGTACAGAAAATATCAGGAGATTATATAATGCACACCTTAAAACATCAAGAGATTGTAAAGTGCACACTATAACACACCAGGAGTGTATAGGACACACTAATTAACATCAGGAGATTGTAAAGTACACAGCAGAAAACATCAAAAGTGTTTACTACGCACTAGAAAACACCAGGAGAGCGTATCATACGTTCTAGAAGATATCAAATGAGTCTAAAAGTACACACTATAAAACATTATAAGTGTGTACAGAACACACAAGAACGCAACAGACGGGTGTACACTAGACGATAGAGGACACCAGAAGTGTGTACTTGTACCGAGTGAGTTCATTATGAGTAAGTTCACTACAGACTATAGAACACCAGGAGTGTTTACCCTACACCCTAAAAAACACCACGAATGTGTTTAGTTCACTCTAGAGAGGATCAAAAGTTTGTATACTACATTATAGAAAGCATCAGGAGAGTGTATAGTATACAATGAAAAGCATCAGGGGAGTGTATAGTATACGCTGAAAAGCATCAGGAGAGTGTATAGTATACACTGAAAAGCATCAGGAGAGTGTATAGTATACAATGAAAAGCATCATACACTCCCCTGATGCTTTTCAGTGTATACTATACACTCCCCTGATGCTTTTAGTGTATACTATACACTCTCCTGATGCTTTTCAGCGTATACTATACACTCCCCTAATATACACTGAAAAGCATCAGGGGAGTGTATAATATACACTGAAAAGCATCAGGGGAGTGTATAGTACACAATGAAAAGCATCAGGGGAGTGTATAATATACACTGAAAAGCAGCAGAAGAGTGTATAGTATACACTGAAAAGCATCAGGGGAGTATATAATATACACTGAAAAGCATCAGGGGAGTGTATAGTACACAATGAAAAGCATAAGGGGAGTGTATAATATACACTGAAAAGCATCAGGGGAGTGTATAGTACACAATGAAAAACATCAGTGGAGTGTAATCCTTTAAAGTGTCAAAAATTACTAGTTCTGCTCATTAAAACCACCTAAAATTAAGCTTCATAGCCACATTATGTATTTCTACTCTTCAGAAAACAGTCGCTTCAAGTAGCACCATTTTAGTTTCATGATGTAATAATACGTCATGCTAGGTAATTCGTCAAATAGCATGGCAAGACTGCGACCCACTAATTACCCTTGTTGCGAAGTTGTAAGTTAGGGCAACTGGGATTCTCTGTTGTCGATTATTTTCAGATAAAGTTATAAAATAAAATTTCCTATATGTAATCAGAATAAACTAAACTATCTCTGGAATCTTTTTGGTATAGTTGGTCTTTTTTTTTTTTTTTTGTCTGAAACTACAACTGGGAATACCTGAAGAACATGTGATTATGTTTGGATACTTTTACTTTGTAGATAGCATATTGGTATCTAATACTTGAATACCTTAACTTTCTGGTTTCTTTGGAGAAAACATAGCGGTAATTAATATTTGAATATTTTAACTTTCTGATTTCTTGTCACAGTAATTACGCAGTATTCATTTTAATGTTTTTGGTATCCTGTTATAGTGATTCAACGACCCTCATCTTTAGCCTTTTCAATTTCTCATCATAGTGTGTTACGTTAACCCCATTTTCAACCTTTTCGGTTTCCCATCACATTGATTAGATACATTATATCTTTAACCTTTTCAGTTTCTTGGCATAGGGTATTAAAGAGTCTTAATTTTTAGCCTTTTCGGTTATTCATCACAATGATTAGATATAGTATATCTTTAACCTTTTTAGTTTCTTGTCAAAGTATATTAAACAGTCCTAATTTTTAACCCTTTCTGCTTCTCATTACAGTTATTAAACAAAATATATCCTTAACCTTTTCAGTTTCTCATCATAATGTATTAAATATTTCTTGTCAGAGTATATTAAACCGTCCTAATTTTTAACCCTTTCGGCTTCTCATTACAGTTATTAAACAAAATATATCCTTAACCTTTTCAGTTTCTCATCATAATGTATTAAGTATTCCTCATTTCTAACCTTATGCGGTTTCTCATCATAGTGTGTTAAACTATCCTCATTTTTAACCTTTTCATTTTTTCATCACAAAGATTAGACACAGTATATCTTTAATATTTTTAGTTTCTTGTCATAATGTATTAAATAGTCCTCACTTTTAACCTTTTTAGTTTCTCATCATAGTATGTTAAACTATCCTCATTTTTTTACCTTTTCAGAATTTTATCACAGTAATTATACACATTATATTTTTAACCTTTTTAATTTCTCATCATAGTGTATTAAACTATCCTAATTTTTTACCTTTTCAGAATATTATCACAGTAATTATACACATTATATTTTTAACCTTTTCAGTTTATTGTCATAGTTATTAAACACGTCATATCTTTAATCTTTCGGTTTATTTTCGTAGTAACTAAAACGTTGCACTCGTAACGTTTACCTAATACTTGTTTAGCAGAACAAGATTGGATAAACGACTAGTGTTAAATCTATTATACAAAGTAACAACTTAACCTTTCGTACTGTGGAATGAAAACTTCAGAAAAATAATAAAATATACTTGTACGGAAAGAAATAATCGAATAGTAAAAGTAAGAAAAAGTACCTTTATATATTTCTTTAAGTGTGTGTATGTGTGTATAAACAGAGAATTAAACAAACAGTTAAAAAAGATCCTCTTGTAATGAAAAGTATCATTGATTTTAACAAAGACATTACTTCTTTCAGAACCGAGTGTGGCCCAGTGCTGCTTAGCATACCGGACTATGGATCCGGAGATCCAGTGTTAGCATCTCGTTTTTCCAAAGAAAAAATTCCGCTCTGCACTTTTGGGCAGTGAGTGTGTTATGAGGATATGGGTATGACGCCCAACTCCAATATTTTACTCTACGTTTCATGTAACAGGTACTAGTTTATTAGTTTGTAACACAGTTTCCCTTCTGATGTTAGTGTTACTTAATAACTTTATATGGTAAGAAGAAAAATAACACCTCAACCAAGATTGTTGACTCTTCTATTCGATTAACATTAAACTTAATTAATAATTTAGAAGCAAAGATGGGCAGAAAAAAACGGATTTACCTTTCATGGATATCTCAGATTCGTAAAATACATCAAACATTTTAGCGAATTTAGTTTTACCTTCTAGAGAAGGCGATATATCCCAAGCAACGCTGCCGATCTGGGGCTCAAGGTGAGAAGTAGAATGCCGACGAGTAAGGAGATATTCGCCGCCTGCAATGTCGCTCATTTTTCGGTGAAACAGTCCCAACAAGAATTCCACTAACCAACCATCAAATCTAATAGCTATTATGTTTTATAGATGCTTCGGATGGTTGTGAAATAGTACAATAGGTTCTATTAAAAATAACGAGCAAACTAAAGGAAGTAACAGTAATTTGATTGGAAATATATTACACATTTGATCATTTCTTCTTTCAGATATAACCATTCAGGCATTATATGCCACGTGCGTCATCCACATCTAGTGGAACAGCTCCTAACAATCTCGCACTTTTCGAACGACGATATAAGTTGACAGCAACACACCAATCGAAGGGGATATGACGTCTGAAACTACCAGTGATATAAAGATATTGACGCTTTAAACAACGCTAAAATGATCCAGGTCAAATGCATCTATTTACTCTGATAAATTATTCTTGTTAACAGCGTTCGCTACCTTCCCAGGGGATTATATTTTACTGAAAGAACAAAGAGAAGGTAACAATTCACATTTCATGTTGAAAGCGATTAACAAAGACATGTGTTCTCTTGAGAAAACAGACAGGCAATGCTAAATCAATACTGAGCATGCTCGGTGAACACCAGCACTGAACTAGTAAAAAAGCTATCTTTACCTCCATCTGTGCTAAGCTCTTGAATCGGTTTTAAGCTAATATGACACGTGTGTAATGGAACAAATAATGATCCTTTAAGTCACATCTCACTTTCACCTACTGAAAATTAATTTACATATGCTTACTTATTGATTAACATAAGCGAGCAAATCTCAAAATATTCGCTATTTAGGAATCTCGAAAAAAGAAGTTGGAGGTGAACTTAAGAGAACAAGTCTTAAGACATGCACTATTTAGAGGCATCAAAAACCAAAAACAAATTCATAATGAAACCAAGAGAAATAGCTCAAAATATTCACTAATTAGAAAGATAAAAGAATAAAATCAAGTTGATGATGAAATCGAAAAGGCATAACTCAAACTATTCACTATTTAGAAAATTCAAAGAAAAAAAACGGCATTTGTAATGAGCCTAAGAGAACATCCCTTAAATGTAACGGCAACTGTATGAAATTAAATATTACTCTTTATATTCTGCAACAGAGGGATTTATTAAAATCTTAAAACTTTTATTTTGTTTTGTTAACTAGAAATGAAAAAATCCGCCCCTTCCTTATTAATTTCCTGTATAAAATCTAGAAGAATCTCTATGTTAAAAGACGTGTCTTTGTTGTGATATGCCCCCCCCCCAGTAGCACAGCGGTATGTTTGCGGAGTTACAACGCTAGAATCCGGGTTTCGATACCCGTGGTGGGCAGAGCACACATAGCTCATTGTGTAGCTTTGTGCTTAATTACAAACAAACAAATTGTTGGGATGTAAACAAACATTCCTTCTGCTATATGTAAACTATATATATGTGAGAAACTGTTATAATTAAAACTAATTTAAAACACGGGTATCTAATGAATACGCTGGCATTATATACAGCGAAAATACAAAACCCTATAACCCGAGCACTTTCGAAAGGTGGGCCTTATATCATCATAGACAGTTTACCCTGATGAAGAAAGGTCCACATTACGGTTATAGGGATTCTTATTTTTTCTTTTTTGTTAAAAAGATTTTATATGAATCTACGTGTTTCCGTCACAACCCCCC